ACCACTGTGAAGAAGTTCTTTAATCAAGTGGAATTAGATAATTATAGGACTTCTACCCATTGACTTGCTGGGCACTCACGCATGCCTTTGGTGGCCCTTGAAAAGCAAGATACTTTCTGAGGAGTTAGTCAAGGATTCAATGCAGAAGACATCTTTGAGGGGGTGAACTCGGACAATTGAGAAGAGAACTAGTCAAAGAAGAATCTAGATTTTGAGAGGGAATTATTCACTGGCCTCTCCCCATCCCCATCGTTGGTCATGGTATCTTACAGAAGAGCTGCTCACTCAATAGGATCTATGTATCTATAGATAGATATATCTAGCAGGGTTCAGACTATGGGAGCCCAGTAGAGGAACATACTTGGCAGAGAAGATGCATCCAAAGGGAATAGTATGAGAATGCCAAAAAAAGAGAAAGAATATTGGGCCCTGCATAGTTCCAGGTATGAGCTCCTTGGAGGTATGAGTTCCCTTGGCCATGTATAGGCCCTACATGTTTCCACTAGGAAACCATATATGTGTTCTACTCTTCCCACTGATACCATGGGTAGTTGAGACAGTGCCCCACAGATTTAGGAGATGAACGACTTTTTTTTTTCCCCAGTACTGTTTGTGTCATATCATTTCAGTCAAGTGCCTTTGCTTTGAATTAATTGAGTCCTTTGGCTATTTAAGGTAAACACACTGTTGTGGACTATGGACTATAGTTTTTTTAAATGATATTTTATTTCTGAAAAATTGGAAAAGATCCATCTTCACTCCATCCCACCTGAACCTCCTATCCTCATCCACAAATTGAGAATAAAAGAAAAGCAAAACCACTGTTATGAACATGTATAGTTAAGCAGAACAAATTTCCACATTGACCATGTCCAAAGAAAATATGTCTCGTTTACCTCTCTATCAAGATGTGAGTAACATATTTCATCATTAGTTCTCTGAAATCACTGTTGGTGTTTTACACTGATCACAGTTGCTAATTCTTTCAAAGCTGTTTATCTTTACCATATTACTTTCACTGTTTTCTCATTCTGTTCATTTCCATATGTATTAGTTCATATAAGTTTTCCCAGGTTTCTCTAAAATCATCTCTTTCATCATTCCTTACAAGACAATAACATTCTATCACATTTATATAACACAACTTGTTCAGTCACTCCCCAGTTTATGGGCATTCCCCTCATATTCTCATTCTTCATGACCGCAAAAAAGGGGTATAGATATATTTGCACATCCTTAAGAATATATTTTGCTTAAGATTTATTCTTCCCTCAAACTACCCTACCACTAATTCCCCTTTCTTCCATTTATCTGTTGAGTCAGATGTATTTTTGTACCCCTGTGTGTGTGTGTGTGTGTGTGTGTGTGTGTGAGTGTGAAAGTAGTCTCCTCTTCTTTTACCAAATCAAATGTCAGCTGATCCCTCCATCACCCTCTTCTTGTTTGTATGTCTACTCACACACCTGGATTATGTGAGTTAGTTTTCCTTAACTTTCCTTTCCCTTTACCCACTAGTATATTCCTCTTTCCTTCTCTTTACATTCTTTTCTTAATATCATCAGGACAGAATAGAATAGAATAGAACCACTCCTAGATCTTCTAATTAAATTTCATTTATGATCCCTGGTGATGTAGTTCGTGGAGACACATGCATTTATCTCTCCATATTAGAATGTAAGCAGTTTGTCCTTGTTTAGTCCTTTATCATTGTCTACTTGTGTTTATCTTTTTGTTTTTCTTAACTCCTGTTTTTGAACTTCCAATTTTCTATATGTCTCTTCATCAGCAATGGAAGTCCTCTCTTTCAAAAAAGGTTCATTTTCCACCCTTTAAGATTATATTCACTTTTTCTGGATAAGTTATTCTTGGTTATAAGTCTGTATCCTTCACCTTCTTGAATATAGTATTGAGGTAGCTGCTAAATCATGTGTGATCCTTACTGTGGCTTCTTGGTATTTGAAGTCTGTCTTCTGGCTGCTTGTAACATTTTTTTTCTTTGACCTGGAAGCTTTGGATTTGGGCTATAATGTTCCTGGAAGTTTTCATGGCTTCTTTCAGGAAGTGACTTATGGATTCTTTCTATGTTGTGCCCTTTGATTCTGAGATAATTGGGTAGTTTTCTTTTAAGATTTCTTGAAATATCATGTCTAGGCTCTTCTTTTACCCATGGCATGTAGATAGTCCAATGATTACTACATTAGTTCTCCTTGGTCTGTTTTCCAGGTCAATTGTTTTTGCTGTTAGATAACCTTGTATTTTCTCCTTTCTTTCCCCTAATCTTTCCACTGTTTTAATATCTGCTAATGTCTCATGGAGGCATATTTGGTCTGTTCTAATATTCAAGGAGTTTGTTGCTTGGGCAAAGTTTTCTACTTCTTAGGCCAAGCTGTTAATTGTCTTTCCAATTTTTTTTTATAGCTCTCATGTCTTTTCCAGTATTTTTTTCCTCTAGCAAGCACTCTCATTTCATTGACAAAAACAATTTTATCTCTTTTTCAAAAATCTTGTTTCATCTCTTCCAGGAATTCTAGTTGAATTAGTGCCCAAGCTTTGTTTTTCTTTAAGGCTTTGCATGCAGATGTTTTGGAATCATTCTTTTATTCTGGGTTTTTGTCTTAAGCATTCTTGTCATTATTATAGCTTTTAATGGTGAAATTCTTTTTTTGTTTATTCATTCTTTCAGCCTGAAAGTATTTTTCACTTTAGACCTGATGTTAGGGCCAGGCTCTGTGTACATCTGGAGGGAATGTCTGGGCTAGTCCTGTTGCTTCTTTCTTGTTCTATTGAGTTCTGGGTTTTTTTTGGGGGGGGGAATCTCAGGGGATTGTTCAGGTTGGGGAGCTACAAGCTTTCAGTATCCCCAAAATGTTCTGATCTGAGGTAAGATCTGATTGCTATCCCTCTGGTCTGAGCTCTGCTAGTTTCTAACCTGGGTTTGGGTCTGAGCAAGGGTAGATTGCTGCTGGGATCTGCCTTTATTAGTCAGCTGGAAAGCTCTGCTAATTCAGTGACAGAACTGCAGGCTCCCCTTTGGTCTTACCCTGGTTATTCCTCTGCAGGCAGAGCTACACTACTGCTGCTTGCTTCTGAGCTTGCTTCTTTCTCAGTAGAGTACCAGGGGCCTCCATCCCTAGGAATGCTACCCTCAGAAGCTGATCCCTGCCAATAGTAGTTTGCCCTGGATCTGTGACCTGGAACTGGGCAGTGGGTTACAAAGCTGACAGCTGGCATCTGTTCCCTTTGAGGTGCTAAGGTGTTGAGGTGTGAGTCTGGAGATGTTCTGGTAAAGGTCTGGGATCTCTGTTCTGATGAACAGCTTTTCTCTGTTCTGGAATGCTCCCCAGGTGATGCTTCTGGCTAGATTCTGTCTTAAGTGTACAGAGATCTTTCTCTCTCTTTCCCTGTGCTGACTTGGGCTAGAAAAATGACACTGTGACTATCTAGGATTTGGGTTTTTTACTTTATATGTCTAATTATATTTTCACTACTTATATGCCTCTGTACCAATTTTAGCTGCTCTGGTGAATTTTTCTCTTCAAACCAGTTATATATTTATCTATCATGAAGGGATAGCATTTCACTTTTTAAAAAGTGAAATATAATAAATTTAACAATTTAAAAAATTATGGCCATTCTAAAATTATTTTTATTTTTTTAAAGTTATAGTGGGTTTTCTTGAAAATCATCTCATTACATTCAATTTTACCAAAATGAATGCTGAGAGATATAAAATGTTATGGTGTTTTTACACAAAGATGGCTTAACTTTATGTTTACATGCTGATCTTCAATTCCAGGAAACAGGTAACAATTTATATGAGTTATAAACCTATACAAATTGACTTCCTCCTTTCAAGGAAGGTTCCTCTCCAAAAAACGCAGCTAGATTGTTAGATGAGAAATCCAAAAGGAAAATGCTTTAGACACTTAAGGTAAATTTCTCAAACAATTGCTTTTATGAAGAAATTAAAATCTGAAATACATTGATTCATATTTGACCTTGTATTAAATAATCTATGGACTGTATTCATTGTCAGGTGGAGTGTATCATGTTTTTGTTGACTTTGAGGTGAGTTTTGTTTTCACTGAAAAAAAGGAGATGTGTTTATTTGTGAACTGTGCTTTAAAATATCCAAGAATTTTGGCCTTTGCTTCACTCCCACTTTGAAAGGGTCTCACATCCCAGTCTAGAGAGCTCTGCTTGGGAGGACTACAGACTTTGTCATCTCTCATCAGGCCACTCTTATAAAGACCTGGTTTTTATTTTTTTAATTTGCCTATTTGTATTTTTTTTCTTTTAGCATTTCAGTTTCTAGAGGTGGGTTTAGAGGGAGCAAAGAATACACATTCTGAAAAGCACCTAGCACAATTAGGTATCAAGTTTTAAGGTTACTTTGTGACTTGAGTATGACCAAGGTCCTAATAAAGTCTAGCGTGTGGATTGGAGGGTAGAGGAACATTCCACTGACACATAAGATTCCAAGCTTTTGGTACATGAAGAAAAATGATGTAAGTTACCTTGAGCTCTAACAATGATTCACCTTTCCTTTCTTGGTAGGACCTAAAAGAAGTCTATTTTATTGATGGCAGTGTGGTGTGATGGGAGGAGCACTGGACTGAAATTGGGAAGACTTCTGTTGAAATTCTGGCTCACTAAAGTACTACCTTCATGACCCTGGGCATGTCCTTCACTGCTCTGGGTATGTCTCCTCATCTGCAAAATGAGAGGCTTGTACTAGATGATATATAAAGCCCCTTTCTAGCTCTACGTCTATGATTCCATGAAATAAATGATCTCTAGGTTTGCTTCCAGCTCTAAATCCCAGGATTCTATGACGCTGAAAAATTAAAAGAATGAACCAAAAAGATCTCAAGTTAAAGCCAAAGTCAAACATGGTAATGCTTTTAAAAGCTAAGGAGGAATGGTACTATTAGCTAAATGCTGAATGCATTAGGAATTCCAACCAAAGTCTTACCTATAGGATAGTATCTTTAATTTACCTGGTTTATCTTTTTTATAAACAAGGCAGACTTTCCCGTTTCCATTGCAGGAATCCAGTTCAAAAATCCTATTTCTAGAGTCAAAGTGTGGCTTCTCTGGCTCGTCTCCATTAGCTACCAACTCTGAAATTGAAAATAATGTTCAAGGAATATAAAACATAACATGACTTATTAAGATGCTAGGGCTAAATGCCCACACATGATTTTCCTAGGATGAAAATATCAGGAAAGTAAAACACATATGTATTGAAGTTGAAAATCTTTTCAAATTTTTTTTTCAAATTTCAGTCAAATGAATTCTACCTACAGGAGAATATGATGGGTTTCTTCTGCTTAATGTCTTTTGTCTCTGTTTTCACAATCACAAGTAGACGGGTATAGCAGAGACATAAGGGAACGGAAATTTGGCTTTTGGGGAATTACTACATCATAGTACTACTTAAAGACATTGTCATTTAACACATTACACAGTCTCTTTTTAACACGTCCCTAAATTACTGAGCCATGTCAGGGCACAATGTAAAAGATTCTCAAGGATGTATTGAACAGTAGGGGAAAAAAGTAAGAAAAAAGTTCTAACTAATTGATCTTCGGTCTTTATTATGTAGGAATATAGATGTAAATAGCCCTGTGCTTTAGACCTTTCTAATGGGTCAGATGTACTTGTGGACAAACTGCTAGTAGAGAGAGAGAGAGAGAATGGGGAAATCTGCTGCAAATCCAAAGGACAGCTGCCTTTGGCCATGTCACCATAAAAAGGGGTCCTCAAATGAGACCATCTCTCTTCAAATGTGATAGCTCTCAGGCTAGCTTTTCTTGGTGCAGACACCAGTTCTCTTTGACAAAGCATTATTCCTAACCACCTGCCCCGCCCCCAAAGGGGCAAAGAGACCTATCGGAAGTTTCTGGTTATGCATGTTCTTTAGCAAAGGACCAGAATTCCATGTCCCTCACAAGGCACTCCATGGGATGTTCTTACTGAGTTCAAATCTGGCCTCAGACACTTACTAGCTGTGTGACCCTGGGCATACAAATTAAGTGACTCTTAACCCTGTTTGCCTCAGTTTCTTCATCTGTAAAATGAACTGGAGAAGGAAATGGCAAAACACTCCAATACTTTTGCCAAGAAAACCCCAAATGGGGTCACTAAGAGTCAGACATGACTCAAGCAACTAAACAACAACACTAATAATCATAGTAACAGCTGACAGTTATATAACACTTAAAGTTTTATGAAGCACTTTTAAATATTTTATTTCATTTGAGCCCCACAAGAGCCCTATGACCTAAGCACTCCATCCAGGTATTAACCCCATTTTACAGATGAGGAAACAGGTTCATGAAGATCAAGTGACATGCCCATGTGTTACAGAGCCAGGGAGTGTTTGGGGTAGAATTCAAGCTCAGGTCTCTTTTGGTCCCTTTCTTTACTATACCATACTTTTTGAAGGAAAGAAAGGGAGATAAATAGAGAGACCTAAACAAAAAAAAAAACAACCCTCTGTGAATCTATATCTTTTAAAGTCTATAATGGTGGTTGTATTCCTGTAGTTTATTCTTTTATAGTTTTATCCTGTTATTTCTTCATTTAAACTATTAAGTTTTACCTTTAAACTTTCTTGAAAATTGACATGTATTTCATGACATACACTGGAAAAAGTGTTTTTTTCATAAACTTTTCCTACAACTAATAAGAAAGCAACTTTTTCTGTACAAGGAAGAAAAATATCTATTCTGGCTGGTAAGAGCTTGCTTTCATGTGCTTTTTTGTTGTTGTTGTTCATTTTGGGGAGGCAATTAGGGCAAAATGACTTGTCCAGGGTCCAGGGTCCCAGAGCTAGTAAATGTTTGAAGCTGGATTTGAACTTAGATCCTTCTGACTCCAGGGCTGGTGCTCTATTCACTGTGCCATCTAACTGCACCCTGTACTTTTGATGCCTATTTAGCCATCTGTTAAAGTATAGCTAAAATCCCATATACTAGAAATTAATTCAATAAGCATTTACTAAGCCCTACTGTGTGTAAGACACTGTGTTAAGCAACAGAGATATAAATTTTAAAAAATGAAACAATCTCTACTCACAAGAATAACATTACATTTTCCTAGAAGGGATATGACATGCACACAACTAAGTAAATGCAAGATAATTTGAAGAAGGAGAGAGCACAAAAAGTCCTGATTGCTGAGTCTCTGGCTAGGCTTTCCATTTCATGAGGGGTTCCAGCCATGCCTACTTCACTCCCAGTTCACCTGATTCTCTGGACTGCTCCACCTCATTGGCAACCATGACAGTAGCCCTATACACCCTTTCCAACTCCCCTTTAGACTGTCTTCTCTTATTAGAATGTAAGACCCTTAAGCATAGAGAGCCATCTAGTTTTCTTGTATTTATATTCCTGAGGATTATCACGATTCCTGGCACATAGTAAGCACTTAAAAAATGCTTTATCTGTCTGTATGTCTATCTAGGAATCAGGAAGGCAGCACTTGAGATAACCCTTGAAGGAAACCACAGGTAAGGACAAAGTTCATTCCAGCCTCTGGGCTAGATGACACCACAAGTAATTTCCTGGAATCCTGAAGAGATCCTGTGGATGCTGAAGATCATATTTTAGTGGAATATCAATGTGAACATTCCCTTCAGTGGTGTAGATTGTAAATATTCACACTTCATTTGGTTCAACTATTGTCTACATCCTAACATAAAGTATCTACAGAAGACTCATCCAATTCACCAAATCTTTCATCTAGATCTTTTACAGCCCCATGGACACCAGTGCAGCACAAGGGTTGTCCATCTGTTATCTCTCATTCTCGAAACATAACTGATCTTTTCCTATCATACATTGCCATGGTATTTCTAATATCCCTTTTCACATGCAAGTCATTGATAATAAGTTAAGGCTTACCTATGCCTTCGTAGTAGTCCTTGGGTTACCTACAATTCTTCAGGGATCATAGTGTTCCATAATTCATTGCCATATAGTATCCCTGAAGCAATATTAGCATTATTGAATATTTCTTTCAGCTTGTAGCTTGGGATGATTAACCATACTACCAAATCTCCCCTATACAATCTATTTGCTCTCTTCTACCCATCTAACTTAGGTCTAGTTCAGTGTCTCTCTGCAGAATCTGTCCAAGATAAATGAACTGACAGACCGACTCACCCAAATGCACATAGTTTGGACAATAGGTGTTCTTCATCTACTTGTTTTTTTTCCTGCTCCTATTATTAAACCAAACTCTTTTTAGTGGCTGTGATTCTTATTTAGTATCTAAGAAAGAGATGAAACAAGCACAGTGGCATTGAAAAATGAGAGCTCCTGGAGCATCTCATCCCCTAAAGAGAATTCCTTTTCCATTTGGATTCTGTGATGGGCATCCTTCAAGCAGTAGCAAACAATCTTGGTGAACACGTATCTACCTATTTTATGCTTCTCTTGATCTTGATTATTGAAGGATCATTGAATAGAATTATCTCTATAATTTAGGCATATGGTAACAGAAGTAAGTCTTAGAGAAGTGCCAATTTTTATAATCAATAAAGAATTGAAACGTCAAGATCTTGTGTTCGCTATACCTCTCTACAATCATGTGACTTTAAAGATGTGGTCCACTGTAGGATTTTATTGTAAATACCTGCTCATTTCTTTCTCATACATTTTATAGAGAATGGCCTTGATTCAAGTACAGATCATTCCTCTAATAATTTTATAGAGTTGAGAAAAGATGCACATAAATTAGTTTTTATTAGCTTTGTAAGGTAGTGATACTTATAATTTTTAATCTCTCCGCCTCCACGCATCCTAAGAAACTTTAGAACTCTTCTTTGTATTTACTATATTCAAATAATATAGTTGTTTAGTTTCATGCTTTATCTCCCCTTCTAGATCATAAGTTTCTTGAGGGCAGGGACTTTGTCTCACTCTATCTCCATATTCCAACCATCTACAATGGTGTTACACTTATAGTGTATACCTAATAATCATTTATTAAACTGAATTAGATGCACAGTAACCATAACAGATTAGCCATCATTAGTAAACAAATAATACACATTCTGAATTTATCATTTGGCTCTATCCACTATACCTTCATCCTCATCTTCCTCCAGGTCCACAAGACTTGGTGAATTGGGAAGCAAATAAACAGAGGTCTGGTGGAGCTGGTTCAATTTCATGATGCTGTTAATCATCAGGCTGCCCAATGGGATGGGATAATCTGTATGAAAATTGAGAAAGGAGACTAGGGTATAGTAGGCGCTTTACATGTTACCACTAAGAATGGAAGGTTTCTCTTTCTTTGGGTATTCAAAGCCCAGCCATAGTTTCCCCATCCTGCCCTCGACAGTGTAGAGAAACCAAAATGTCTTGCTATTCTTCATATGTGACACTCCATCTCCCATCTTTGTCTCTTTCCTGGTTGGCTCATATCTTGAATGTTCTTCCTTTTCACCTCTATCTTCAAGATTCATTTCAATGAAGCCTTTCTTGCAATCTGCTTTGTATTTATTTTATATACACTCTCTCTATATGCTTACATATGTATCTACTGTATTCACCAATAGTCCCTGAAGACAAGGACTTTTCCTTTTTGTCTTGGTACAGAATAGGTGCTTAATCACTGCTTACTGATTGATGGTTTGGTGCCCGGGCTAAGAGCTATGCCTCTGGTGAACAACAAAGAGAAGAAGGCTGTCATCTTTTATACCAAGGATGCTCATTGCAGCTATCAGACAAATGCTAGCATGCCACTCAGACAGAGAACTCTGAGGCCCTGAGATGATGAAAATTCCTACCTGTGTGTGGGATAGCTTTATGCTTTGGCTATGATACAGCAGCATATGCAATTTTTACTAAATGATTCTATGGTAAGAGTTAAATTAAGAGTTAATGAGGAATAGGGATAAGCGAATTGAATATTGCTGCCAGGAGAAACAGGAAGGTTATAGCTCCCAGCTTAAACGACAGATTAAAAAGCAGGTTTTCCAGACAAGGCAGTGGGCAGTTATTAGAATAACTAGTTCCTTAAGGAATGAGATGCTACTAACTCCCAAGGCAACTCATTCCATTTTTGGGTAGCTCTAAATGGATGCTTTTCTTTACATTAAGCATATTTTGCCCCCTTTATAATTTCATCCATTGTCCTCTGGGGACAAATAAAATAAGCTTAATCCCTCTTCCAAAAGATAACACATCAGATGATTGAAGATGGTTATCAGCCCCACCCCCACCTCTCTGCCCCAACCTTTCCCAACTCTTCTCTTCTCCACACTAACTATCCCTACTTCCTTCTAACAATACTCAGATAGTATGGACTCCAGGTTCTCCTCTGGACACTTATCAAAAGTCCTTCCTAAAATATGGTACCCAGAGTTAAATACAGTTGTCTAGATGTGGCCTGACCAAGGTAAGTACAGCAGGGCTCTCCCTGCCTTATTCCTTAAAGCTATGCCTTTCAATGCTGCACAAGAGCTCTCTCTCTCTCTCTCTCTCTCTCTCTCTCTCTCTCTCTCTCTCTCTCTCTCTCGCTCTCTCTCTCGCTCTCTCTCTCGCTCTCTCTCTCGCTCTCTCTCTCGCTCTTACCTTTTTTGGCTGAAATATTGCATTGTTGATTATAATGAGATCACATTCCACCAAAACCCCTAAGCCTTTTTCAAACTTCTGCCTAATGATCCCTTTCCATCTTATACTTGTAAAGTCAATATTCTGTATTCAAATGTAAGACTTTACATTTACTTTCTGTTAAATTTCTTAATTGTATTCAGTCCAACATTCTAGCCTGTCAAGATGTTTTTTGTGTATGGGAAGGAGGGGAATCCTGACTGTTATCTCTTCTAGCTTTGTGCCATCTGCAAATATGCCTCCTAGGCCTTTATAAATGTCACTAATAAAATTGTTAAACAGTAGTTCCAAGGGCAAGGGCACTGTACTGGATACCTCCCTCTAGGGTAACCCTGAAATTAGTAACTGATGAATCTGGCCATTCAAAAAGTTCTGAATCTAATTGTACCATCATGTGATATATCTTTCCATCTTTTCCACAAATATAGTATAAGATACTTTAGCAACCTCGTTGATAATATCTAGGTAAACTATATTTACTACATTCCCTTGATCTAGCTCTATTACTCTGGACAAATCACTTAACCTCTTTGTATATCAGTTTTCTCACCTGTAAATGGGAAAAAATGCTTTACTACTAACTTCACAGGATTATTAGGAGGGAAGTGAATTACTGCCCTTAAAATGCTAGATAAATGTGAGCTGCTATTATTATTATTGTTATTATTACTTTTTATTTCTATTTCTTCTGCATAAGAAAATGGTTCATCTTAATTTATAAAATCTACAAAGAAGAGTAAAATGAGAGGAATGTTGAGGCTGACCTAGCTGGAGGAACAAGTCAATATACCAGCCAGACAATCAAATAACTAACTGCAGGGCCTTTGCACACCTTCCCAAGCTAGGGCCTGAGCCTTGAGCTGGGTTTTTGGGTTTTGGGTTGTTTTTTTTTTTTTTTGGTGGATTAATATGTCCCACGTGTCCCAGCTATTTACTTCTGTATATGAAGCAATGAAAAGGCAAGGCAGCTGAGGAGACTGCAGATTGTCATAAAACAAAAATACATTACTTTCTGTGCTAATTTCTTTGAAACACATTTTGCTGTTCACTTGTTTTTCAGTTACATCTGCTTCCTCATGAGCCTATTTGGGGTTTTTATGGGCAAAGATACTGGAGAGGTTTGCCATTTCTTTCTCCAGCTCATTTTCCAGATGAAGAAAACAGGGTTGAGTGACTTGCCCAGGGTCACACAGCTAATAAGTGTCTGAGGCCAGATTTGAATTCAGGAAGATGAGTCTTCCTGACTCCAGGTCCAGCAAGCTATCCACTGTGTCACTAGCTTCCCTTTGAAACAGACAGGCAGGCCAATTATACTTAAGACCACCAGAGGGCGTTAGACCAACTCAGTTATTGGATGGTCTTAATAGTCCTAACACTTTAGTGATTATGAAAATACCATGTTCTATAGATTATGAAGTTGTTTAAGGATCTCAGGCCTTTTATTTACCACTGCTTTCTATCAAGTTAACATACTCCAGAAGTAGCTACTGGTCTTTTGAGCAGAGAAGTTGATATTAAGCACTGACCAAATTTTAAGGAAGCAGCTGTGGTTCTCACCATCACTGGGAAATAACCCAATCTTCTAGACATTACATTATACAGAAACATTTCAAGGAGACCAATAATGCAGGTGGGGGCAATAAGGTGTGGTAGGGAAGTGAACTTACTATCTAGTTTCACATTCCACAACATGTGGAAGCCATTTGTCATCAGGTAAAAATTCTTCAAATCCTCTGGCAGTACACAATCATTTTCCTGTAATCATAAAGCACCTGAACATTAGGCTAGGAATTGGTAAACAGAGTGGGGGAAGGGGAAAGGAAGAAAGTGGTTGTGCTTCAAACCAAAAGATTACATACCCAACTAGGAATGTTTACCACCTCCTATGCCCTGAAAGCAAATGCAAACTGTCAAGTACCCCCCAAAGAGGGACAAAAGATTTTAAACACTAGTAATAATTCATATTCATGTAACACTTTAAAAATTTCAAAGCATTTTCCTCACAATCTTGTGAAATATAGTTAAAAATAATTAGAGGACACATTTACAAAATACCTTACACGAGTTATATCATTTGCATGTTATTTGATTCTCACGGTAACTCTCATTTTAGATTGGTGCAAATGGGCCAGAGAGGTTAAGTGATTTGCCTAGGATCATATAACTTGTGTTATCTGAGGTGAGCTTTAAACCTGGGGATGTAGACTCCAAGACCAGCACTCCATCCACTATACCAATAGCTGCCTCACTGTTCAAGCTGAAGATAAAACTCCAAAAACAAGGAGTATATTCCCTGTAACAAGTTTATAGCTTCATTTGGGATCATCAGACTTCTCTCAGAAGGCCCTTAAATTCAAATTTTACTAATAGTAGTTGAAGGAACCAGGGATGTTTAGCCTGAAGAAAAGATTTAGGAAGGTAACAGTAGAAGAGAGGGAAAGGGAATAAGCATTTATATAGGCCAGGCACTGTGTTATGTGCTATTACAAATATTATCTCATTTGATCCTCATAACAGCCCTGCAAAGTAGGTGCTGCTATTATCCCATTTTACAGTTAAGGAAATTTGGGCTTCAGGGGAAGTCTATAAGTCTGAAGGCCTACATAGGTCCCTGACGGCTTACTTGGCATTAGATAACATTAAATTGTTTTGGATGCAGTCAGCATAGTTTTATGATTTCCTTTAGCTTCATTCAGTATCACATGAATAGGAAGAAAGAAGGAAGATGAGGAGGAAGTAGTCTGGGTTTGGAGTTTGGCAAGTCAGGGTCAGTGACCAGACAAGGGAACAAGGGATTTAAGGGTAGAGTACAGTATAGAGTTAAGCTGATTCACCAAGGGTTGGCCTGCACTGAGAGGTGGAGAAAATAGAAGCCATGAATAAAATGAAGAACAGGGTTATGAGTCATAAAGCTTAGAGAAAGACAGGATAAAAGGCTGTGATCAAGTAAAGGAACATCAAAGTTTGTGATCAAAGAAGTGGCACCCTTGCAGATGATGCTAAGATCAAAGGTTATGCCCATCTTTATGTGGAGCAGAGGAGTGGGTTGAGGAACTGTGAGATGAGGATTTAAAGAAGCATAAATATGTTTTAAGTCCTCTAGTAAGAGAACAGGATATAGGGAGGAAAGCCTGACTCATAGGCTCTGAACTCACTGAGAAAGGAAGAATATCTTGGGGGTCAATAGATAACCACCAGGATCCAGGCCATCACTTCTTAATGTTTTAAAAAAAAATTAATTAAAATTTGGCAACAATAAAAGGTTACTGAACATGCAATAACCAAAAATTAATTCAAATCAAACGCATATTGAATCCAAAGTGTTTCTGGCAATGCTTGCCTGTGTTGCATCACACAACTTCACTGCGGCCTTGGTTCTGAACACAAAGCATGTGAACTTTGCACTGTGCCTGCCCTCAGTCACACAACGAAATGGGAAAAAGGGTCGAAGTGGAAAAGTTTAAGAAGCCCTGTTCTAGACCGGATGATAAATTTGGATAGAATGAACTTCAAAGAAGGAAAAGTTTCTCAGTAAAAGTGGTAGAGGGAGAATCTGGAAATGGCAATGAGGACCAATGAGGTATTCCTTGTCTCCCACTGCAACCAAGTTGGAAGATATGAAAATGTAGCCAGTATTTGAAAGGATGGCAAGGAAAGCAGTGCTATCAGGAAGGAGTTATGCCCCAGTGAGGGTCCGAAGAGTGGAGAGAGAAAAAAAGAAGAGTGGAGAAGGAAGAAGTTTTAAGGCGAGAGGAAGTCTGTTAATTGTGGAGCAGGTATTCCAAAGGGCACAGTGGAAGGGGCAAATGTTTTTTATTTCATCACTTCATGAATAATCCTTTTGTTACTTGCAAAAGACCCACCATACTAGAAGAAGTGAACTACTACCTATTCTAAGATGATAGTTCTTGTGGGTAAGAGACATATTTGGGGTAAAAGCTCAAGGAGAATTGGCTTGAAAAATCAAAGAGATGAGAGGTATAACCAAATGATAGGGAGCAGGAGACCCTAGTCCAAGAGAAATGGCACAAAGTAGACAATCCAACAAACCTCTAAGGTGTTCCTAGCAAACTATGCTACCAGAGAAGTGAAGGGTCATGTAGCACCCTCTTCCTGACCCCATGTGGTTCTCTTTCCAGCAGCTCCCTTGCTGTTCACCCACTGCCCTACCACTGCTGCCATCTCTAGGTGAGCTGGGGCCTGCTCAAATGTCTCCTGTTTGGGGTTTTCCCCTTGCTAATGATCAAACAGAAGCTCAAAATAGGAAATTTGGAATCATCAGACTTTTTCTGCTTGGCCCCCCAAAATAGCAATGAGTAGAAATTGCAGAGACAGATTTCTATTTGATGTAAGGCAAAACTTAGTAAGTATAGCAATCTATCCAAGAATGGAACTGGCTATTTCAGAAATTAATGGGACCCCCCCCCCATTGGCCTTCAGGCAAAGGCCATTTCTTGGGGATGTGGTAGAAGTGATTCTTATTCCAGTATGGATGGGACTACATGGCCCAAGGTTGCTTCCTTCTGAGATTCTGTAATTCTGTTATTGAACAAAGAATCATCAAAGTTAAGGGATCCACACTACAAATACAGAAAACATTTTAAAAAGCATGTGTATTTCTTACTATCTCTTCCAGTTCAACATTAAACAATATAACACAGGGAAAGAGTACTAGTACAAATCCTGCCTCAGACATTCCTAGCTATTTACTTAATTTCACCAGTGCCCTAAGCAGCTCTTCAAGATTATAAATTGCTAATCTGTTAAACACTTCCATTCCAGAAAATTCCATCACTAATGGCATCATAAATCTGACCAAAAAACCAAAAACCAATTATAAAAAAGAACCTGGTATCAGCAGAAGGATGGAACTCTATATCTCCTTCCCTAGGGCCACTGGGCATGGTTAAGAAAGCAAAAGAAATACAACAGCATCTATGGCTAAATTCTTCACTTGTTGAGTTATCCTGATAGCGACAATGGCTGTTTCTCATGGAAAATGTATCCAAAGTCATTATGTCAACTCCGAGTAGTAACCTGTGCGCAGATTTATAGGGGACAACATGGGAGAAGCACTGGGTCTAATCAGAGTCCCAGTCTTAGCTCCTCCATTAATGTAATCTATGATGAAGAACCCCAGGGTTTTTCACAGACCAGTTTCAGTCTTGGGGACACACAGATCTCTTTGGCTTATGCCTCCATATAGGATTTTCCAAGGTAGCATCAAAATATGAATTATTTTCCCCCCACCAATGCTTCACTGGTCATCATCAGAATATACACATCATGTCTAAGTTTCTATATATGTAGGTAAGAGGACTCTCAATTCATGGGCAAGCACTTTATTTTGTATCACAGAAAGAAGACAAAAAACAAAGACCAAGATCCTATAAACAATCAAGACTATGTTCTTTCCCTCTTCTTTCAGTCCCACCTCCCCGCCAGGGACATAACCAGCTCTCTAGACTCTCAGCTGCACCCTATGGCTTATATTTCTCAAGAAGGGAAATAAACTCGAGGCTAGCCAAAAAATGACATCCTCTGTCTTCCCTAAGGACCCATGCACTTCTTCAGACTCTCATAGCATTACCATAAGCATTGAGACTCAACTAGAAAGAAATATTTCACTTGGAGTTAAAGAATCAATACCTAACTTTCCTGTGAGTGCCCCTCCTTCCATTTCCTCTAGAGACCTGAGAGGGGAAATTCTGCATTTGGGGGCCACTACAGAAACAACCCTCACTTTGGATCTGCACTATTCGAATGGGCCATGGTAGAAGTCAAGGGCAAAGTCCAGATTTATTTTTCTGAATCACAGCTTTGTCTTTTGCCACTTCTCAACCCATAGCCCTGTGGTTATTCATCTTCCTTCCAGAAGGCTGGATCCAAGAACCCCCATCAGTCCAACAGAAGGTTGAGTATTGCTCCATCCCTGTTTCTGCCTCTTAGGCCATGTGATTTTTACTTAAGGCTCACTCAGCTTCTCCTCTGGGAATTTTTGAGAGGTTCTGCTACTGCCTCTCTAAGGCTGTTATTTCTAAGGCTTCAAGGACTCTTAGGAAAGAGTTGCTCGGATCAGCAAATTCTCCCTTTCTGGGGACCCAGGTATGTTCTCTGGCCTCTGTGCTTGCTCAGCTCTTCCTCTATGAGGTACTCTTGCAGATTCCTCTTGTTCTTTCTGTTAGCCAGAACTCAAGGATGCTTGCTGAGATCTAGAATGCTCAGACTCAATTAATCATTTTCACCAAAGTATAAATGGCTCACCAAGTTATAACAGCCAGCATTTATAGAGCTAAGGTTGCAAAGTGCTTAAACTGTATCATTTGGTCTCAAAAACAACCCCAAGAAGTAAATGCCAATTCCTACCCTCATCAAGGTGATATGACCAAAGTCCCAAGTGAGGTGTTAATGGGGGATATTCTCACATATCAATGGCATATAACCAAAGGCTTTACCCTTTAACTTCATCAATCCTGACCAGAACTTCTCATGATTATGTATATTCTGCCAGGGATGGAGGATGGGGTGTCAATTTCCCTAAGCATAAAATAAATGTCAAATGACTTCCAAGACAACATCTAATTCCAAAATTTTATGGTCTCTGACCTTATCAGACATTAAAGGGAGATGGAAAGATACAAAAGACATAATAAACGGGTCCCCTAATCTTTGGGAGTTTACTGTCTAAGGCCATAAACCCAACAAAAACTATGGAACAGAGCAAAAGAATTCTGTTCTATTTTGATAATCATACA